GCCGCTGGTCTCGAGGGGACCATCTGCAGCAGACCAGGGACACCCGGAGCAAAGCCGGGAAGGCGGCGGGATCCCGCGCCTCTGAGGCTTTGCCAGAGCAAAGCCTCAGAGGCGCGGGGAACCGCCGCTGCTGCCGCTTCAGTCTGGGTGCCTGTGGTCTGCTGGGGACGGTCTCCAGCAGACCAGGGGCACCGGAGCAGCTTACGAACGGGGCTTTCTTGCCCCGACCTCCGGGGCGAGAAAACCCCGTTCGTAAGTGCGGATCCGACATAAGTCGGATCCGCGTAAGTCGGGGACTGCCTGTACTCAAAAAAAAATTCTCTGAAAATTATCATCTATTTTAGAAAAAGAGTGAGCTAGTTTATTCCAAGAACAAGGCGCTGAACAAATATTGATTCCAAATGGTGGTAAAAATGTTTACACACTACTTTTGTTCCAGGTGGCATCAGAAATGGGTCTTATGACATTGGTTTGGCCTGTGGGTAAGAATATTTCTACTCCTGTAGACTTCTTGATAGTACTTTTTCTTCGGTAACATTTCTAATATGATAATCTCAAAGTGCTCTCCATATAAACTTTAGAACTCACTTGAGTTAGGCATTTTCCCCCTATTACAGAATGGACGAGCAGATTGTGAGATTCTCTTGACTTAAAAAGTGACTGGTGATTTTGAGTACCTCATAGAAGATGCTTTAAGGAGGCCGGACTCAGAAGTTATGAGAATCCATCTCCTGAAAACCAGGTGTCTCAAGCAGGGCACTTGGTTTCTTGTTTCTCAAGAAAACGTATGCCACCGTCTGAATTATACAAAAGCAAAATCTTTTAGATTAAAGTAGTGAGTGTACATTTTTCTGCAAAATTTCAAATCTGGTGTAGGTTACTAACTGAAATCAATAGGGAGATTGCTTTGTAGCCCACAGTGACAATCTGTTATACTAATTGTTACTTTTGTAATTCAACATCTTTGAAAATCTCAGTTTAATTAAAGATTTATGAGTGTTAGGGTATGTTTGCACTGTAGCTAGGTAGCGTAATTCTCAACTAGGATAGATATATATGTACTAACTTTGTTGTGCTAGTCTGCTAAAAAAAACTCTGTGGCAAGGGCAACTTGGCTTGCCACCTGACACACACAATCCCATTGGACCTTCATGCACAGGTGGCCAAGGCAGCACAGGCTGTGGCTCACTTGCTGCTAACTTGAGCCAAGCTAGCATGTGGATGTTTGCTTGAGCTGGGAATTGCACCCCTTAGCTGTTGTGTAGATGTACTCTCAGATAAGAGAAGTAGTCACTATTCTTCTTAGGACTGCTGTGAAGTAAATAGTATAGCAAGGTAACAAGTTAGTCTCATAGATGTGTGCAGAGCAAATGGTATGTACCAGGAACTGCTCTGTGTACTGGCCAGACATGGCACACTCTCTTCATTCAAATTAAGGATGTTAAGTAGCAAGTAAATGACTTATTATGTACCAAATATAATCTGTATCAAGTACACGATTAGTTGATAAGGGGCCTCTGTGGCTCTGCAATTTAAATGTATAGGTTGAAGCTCTCTCTTCCAGAACTCTCTTATCCAGAAACATCCATCATCCAGAATGATTTTAGTTAGCTGGATGACCACTTTTCATGGATGTGGCCAAGTTTCCTGCAGCCCCATAAAGTGTGTTTACAGCCATCAGTCCTAGTTCTCAATGTTCTGTGCTGTTATTTAGCTCTAATTTACCCTAAATGTCCTCTAAAAGCACAGTGAGCAGTGGAAGTGTAGGTAATATTCCTGACTTCCCGTGGTCCTGAAAATTCATTTAGAACCAGTCTGGTCCCGAAGGTGCTGGATGAGAGAGGCTCAACCTATAGTAGGAGCCGGGCGTGCAGGCAGCCTGGCTCCTACTACATTTAAATTGCAGACTGCAGCGAGGCTAGATCCGGGACCCAGCACAAACCTGGTTTGAAGTAGCCCTGGCTCATGCTAGGTCGCACCCTGCGCCTGTGCCTTTTAAATGCAGTAAGAGCCAGGTGGACCTGGCATGATCCGGGACTGATTCAGTCGGGGCTCACACCAGGTCCTGCACTGCTGCTTTTAAGCCAGCTCCCCGCAGCACCGGTTACTGCTTCTCCAATGCAGGTTGTTAACTCGACTACCCGATAAGCCTAGGCTAATTAAAATGTAATCCATGTTTGTTCCAGGAAGTGTCTCAACAAACATGTAATCCATGTTTGTTCCAAGAAGTGTCTCAATTTCCTGGATAATCTCAAAGTGCTCACTGTGCTAATGCAATTTAAAGGGATAGTTCATGGCACTGGATCCAGCCCTTTCACCTTCTGCTCCACAAGTTATTGGGCTCAGTGTAGGAATCACTGAGTGAAATTCTTTGGTCTGTTACACAGGTCAGGCTGGTTGATCATGATGGTCCCTTCTCATCTTGTGTTTAGGGATTTTAATGAACAAATGGTACAAAAAACAGCTTTTATGTGCTGATCTCTTTATGTGCAGTATTCCCTTCCCTCTTGTCACCCTTTACTTAAATCCTGCTCATTTGTATTTCTTTTTAATTTAGAGCCTGAGTTTTTCCATCCTTACTTTGAGTAGTTTCAGTGAATTCCATTTAAGGAATAAGATACTACTCAGAGTGAAGGTTCAGAAACAGACCTGTAAATTGTAGGCTTTTTGGTGTGGGGGACTTGTCTTCCTGCTTGCCTTATGTTGGTATGTAAATAATATGTCTGGAAAATAGGTATGTGAATGGAATGGGGTATAAAAGCAAATCTTTATCCCAGTTCAGGACTCATGGCTTTGTTTAATTTTATGTTAACTCATTAGTGTAATAAATGGCTTCATAATCATGCTGTAGATATTTGCAGTTCTTAATCTATTAATTCACTTATTAGACAGCCTCTGATTTTTCTGTTGGACAGTAATTCTTTCTTGTTTAAACTGTGCAACATAAGACAAATGACACCACTCACATGAAACCTGTAGTGTTCTGCTTAGCACTTACCCTGTTAGGCTTCTAGCCAGCTTTTTTTAAGCAGTAACTCTTGCATTTTTATTGCTTGTTTATATTTTACCAGTGGAAACTCCTTCCCAGAAAATTTTGCTTTCCCATTATGTTTACTGCAGAGAAGTGCTCCTAGAACAACAGTAAACTTTAATTCCAGGCTGTGAAAACACTAGATTAAATTAATTGACTGTGATAATCTGCCCTAGAAAAATAACAAACAGCTTAATCTAGTGGTGGGCAGCCTATGGCCTGAGGGCTGCATGTGGCCCATTGCTCCAAGTGGCCTGGAAGACACTACTACAGTTCAGTTAGCACACCCCACAAATTCCAGGTATGCAAACACAGTTAACAAAATTACCCTATCCTGGGACATCATCTTAGTTATGACAATCTTGCGACCCACTGAAATGAAAGCCCACTCATGTGGCCCACTCACTAGCCTTGGTTGCTCATCACCTGCTTAATCTGTATGGAGGTGGTTTTATTGTTTCACATTTATGTTGCTGATTGAAACCAGAGTGGTGTACAGGTCAAATACATGCTGCTTAGTTGCTTCTGCAGTATGATATACAAAGTTTTTATTAGGATTCTGAGCTTTTGACTGTACTAATGGTACTAAATTTGCATGAGTTCTTCTAAGGCAAACAATGGTAGTGAATTCTAACTTTTTTCTTCCTCTTCAGAGTGGAAACAATGTCTCTCAGAAATGTAGGCTCCCCTGGTGATGTTAGTTCACGTATGATAGACAATAGTAAAGCCAGAGATTGCCTTATTCCTATGGGGTATGTATCATTTTTCTTCCTAGAATTTATATGATTTTCTAGACTCTATTTCATAAGACAATGTTTTGTTATATTTAAAAAGGTACTGAACTTCTCTCAAACTCACTTTCTTCAATGGTTAACTTCTAAATCCACTGCTGAAGTCTATGCACTTTAGCTGTTTCCAGTGGTTATGGTAGAAGATTAATTGTGTGAGGACTGATAGGAATCCAGACCTTTGAAAGCTGTCTTCATTGCTTAATAAGCAGGAACGAGAGAACATTTTGAGGGGCTCGGATCTGCAGATTTTACGTTTTTAGTGTTTCTAGACATTTTTCTATATTTCAACAACCTGCAGTTTCCATTATTTTCTATTGCAAAGATGCAGCCAAAATCATATTAGGGGCTACCTCAGCACTCCCCTTCCTACTAAAGGATGAATTAGAAGCTTTTGCTTCATTAGGAGAGCAAGTAAGTGGATTTGAAAGGTGGTGGTGTTCTGTCATATGGTACTGCAAAACATTAAGTCCAAAGAGGGATGGTTCAGGCAGATTGAGAGTAGAGTTTGTACTCTTTCCTCTCTGCTGGTCTTGGATTGCAAATTGAATTTTAATAGACTTCTGTTTTATTGAATACCGGTGGTATATTTTCCCCAGAATAACCTCAGAAAATGTGGCAGAAAGATTTGGCATTTCCCGAAAGAAGCAAGATGACTTTGCCATGGCTTCTCAGCAAAAGTAAATATATGGGTTTTATTTATGTGGGGTTGAAATAAAATTACATGGAAATTATAAAATGCTTAATTTCTATAGAGAAAACTTTCCTATTCACAGTTTTTTGTTGTTGTAGTAAAGGCTTAAAACTTAACATTTCAAATGACAACAATATAGTGAGCTATAAATAGCTGACAGCTAAAAGAAGAAGGTTCCTGGAGGTGGGGGTTTCTCTAACTTCTGATCTGTAATGGGAGTCACATCACTAAACCTTCTTCTACTTAGTATATGTACAACATACCTCAGTTGGCATGTGACAAGGATTCATCACTAAATTTGATCAATTGGTTGGATCATTAGCTTTCCCAACTCAAGCAAGACAGAGTGGAACATGAATGCTAATCCATGTCCCCATTAAGCCTCCTGTGCTAGAAAACTTAATCTAGAATGATAAGAGTATCTGTAGTTGAGATCAGGCTTTCTATATTCCTCGCCATCCAGATGGGTCACAGCTTTTCATGGTTTCTGTGAAAACCAAAATGCAGTTAAATGTGCTTATGCTGGCTTTAGCTAGATAGTTTGAGATCTTCTTGCACTGAAGTCAAATGCTGTGGTAGGAGAAGACATTTCTGGAAGGGAAATAATAGGTGCAGACACTTACTTCTAGAGACGCCATAAACTTGTGAGTGTAACTGGCCGTCACTGCTTTGGTATTTTGCTTCATATGAGCTCTGTCCAGTCTCTAGTAACTTATCCTTTCTTTAGCTTAAATCAGGGGTAGCCAACCTGAGCCTGAGAGGGAGCCAGAATTTACCAATGTACATTGTCAAAGACCCACAGTAATATGTCTGCGGCCTCCCTCAGCTTTTACCCTTCCACTCCCCAGCATCTCCTGCCTGCCAGCAGGCCCACTAGTCGGCACCTCTCCATCCACCCATGCATCTCCCTCCCACTGTAATCAGATGTTTCTAGGCATGCAGGAGGTTTGGGGAGAAGGGGTGGGAGAAGGAGCGAGGATTTGACAGGCTTGGGGGAGAAGACGGAAAGGAGTGAGGGCCTTAAGGGAAGAGATTGAGTGGTGGCAGGGCCTGGGGCAGAGCCTAGGGTTGGTACAATCCTGTTCCAGGTTTTTAACCCCTCATGCATTCTATACTTAATAGAGCTGCAAGAGCTCAGCAGATGGGATTGTTTAAAAATGAAATTGTTCCAGTGAGGACCACTGTTAAGGATGACCAAGGCAATCAGAAAACCATCATTGTAATCCAAGATGAAGGAATCAGACCTAGTACAACTCTGGAAGGCTTGGCTAAACTGAAGCCTGCCTTCAAGGAAGATGGCTCCACTACAGCTGGTAAGCACACTCAGTATATGAATAGTTAATTTTGAATCCATGTTCTTTTGGCATGTGATGTTAGTCATTTTGTTATCCTCTCAGATTCGCCTGCATTACTGGTAACTAAACATGCCCAAGCAAAATGATACTGTAAGCAAAATATCTCCCAACAGGTAACTCTAGTCAGGTCAGTGATGGAGCTGCTGCAGTTCTACTGGCAAAACGCTCTAAAGCAGTACAATTGGGGCTTCCAGTCCTAGGAGTGTTAAAATCTTATGCTGTGGTTGGAGTCCCACCTGATGTCATGGGTATAGGGCCAGCCTATGCCATTCCAGTAGCTTTGGAGAAAGCTGGTAAGGTATCATGTTTCTTGTTCTGTTACACTTTGAGCTGTTTCTACAATTCTTTTCATACTCCAGGAGTCTCGCAGCACTTTACAGAATGAGTTTGAAAATGGCTATTGCAGAAATTAGGCAAATTTTAACAGCAGTTCCTTTGCTCTTACATTCTCTCTGACAATATCCTAAGGTCTTTAATTTCTATCATAAGGATGGAAGGGAATTTTGTTTATATCTGATCCAAAGGACTAGTAGTGATAAATAATTAGGCATAATTTTAAGTTTTATGACCTTTTGATATGCTGCAATTGCATGTATGTCCTTTATAAGGGGGAAGTGCAAATGTTTCACTGAAAGCCTTTTGAGGCATATTTTCTTTCAGACACTATTTTTGAGTTATCAAATCTTCCTTTAACTTCTGGTCTCTCTCTAACACGCAGGTTTGACTATGAATGATATTGATATATATGAAATTAATGAAGCCTTTGCTAGTCAGGTGAGACTGCCCATTTTATTTAATATTGCGTTCTAGGTTACTTAGTGGCTGAGCAGAATTTCATATTGGTTGCATTAGTAAATGTAACAATCTGGGTTTGTTTCAAATATTACAGACCCGATACAGTTTAACCTGTTAACCAGGAATCTCTGGTCTGGCAACATCCGTGGTTCGACATGGATTTGCAGGACCAGAGTGTCCCAGTAGAGGGTTGGTGGAGTCCTGCGGGGCCCCCCCCCAGTGAGTCCAGGGAGCCCAGCAGCAGCATCCATTGGCACGTAGCAGTGGGGCTGCCTGGCGAGGCCAGGAAACTCAGCATGCAGCAGTGAGGCCAGCCCCCCGGGGAGTTCTCACATTACTAAGATTTTTCTATTAAAAATATATGACTGTATATTTGCTAGCATAGTTTGAAATACTGCTAATTAAAACCAAACTAAATTTGTGCAGTAAAGATTGCACAGCTTGATACTTTTTCTTTGCCTTTTTAGAATTTTGTATACACGCTGGCATGTAAAATTCAGTATCACTATGGATATTATCAACATTGGTGTGCTTCCCATGTAAATGTATCATGTTCATGAAATATCTAATAAGAGGGATGTTTGATAAAAATGGAATCTCCACTGTAGTATCTTCTACTTCAGAAACCAAACTTAAGTGTGTCTCCCTAATTTTATTTATGGCTTATTTTATAAAGGTGAATTTATAAATGTATTAGCCCAGCTCAGTTCCCCGCGTGTCTTGGTACACAATGTAGTTCCAGCGTATTCCATGGAGATGCATGTAAGACAGGCTGTCATGGCTCCCTCCCCCCCCCCCAAAATCTTAATAACTTAGATTTTGGGGATAAAAAATACCACCAGCCAGGTATTAATGTGAAAAATCAGGGGAGAGATCACTTGGGAAATGTCAACCCTAAAGTACAGACCAGGACACATCCATTAATCAATACCAGGTTAATAAAAAGAAGAGAGAGAACTTTTATCACCACAATATTCCTGTTGCAAGCATAATAACTAGATGGAAAAGTAACAAAATAATATATTCATGGAGAAACTCCATGGGCCTAGAACTTAGTTACAAAGGAAAGCCAAAACATCAGATCCCATTTCCCAAACCATAAAACAATAAAACCTAACGATTTATCTAAACTTTATCCTACTTACAGATTGTGAAGAGTATTTTCTTAGAGGGAGACATCCTGTCCCCTTTAATAGCTGGAGAGAAACTACCCGAGACACAAAAAGAGGGAAACCCAAAAATTCCTTTTGTCCTAGTTTGAAATTCCTACCTACATTCCTATTGGCCAACTCTACCTGAGTTAGGTACAGTTAACCCCTTAGTCCCCAGGCTGCTGGCTAACCCTCATGATCATGACACGGGCCTACTATCTTCACTCTTAAGTATTTAACACAAATCATGGGCTCAGCGACTAACATGGGCTCAGCAACTAAATTTATTGAAGTACTTATCTGGAGTGGCAAAATCTGAATGTCATGTTTTCCCTTGTATACAGAAATGCTCCAGTGAGGGTAAGTTAAAAAGGCTGGGACTACTTGGCTTAGAAAAGAGATGACTAACGGGGGAGTACGATAGAGGTCTATAAAACCATTAATGATGGAGCAAGTGAATAATTAAATGTTGTTTTTCCCCTCACATAACGCAAGAACCAGCGGATCTAATATGCAGCAGGTTTAAAATAGGGATATGAATAGTTAGTGGATAATGCTTACTGGTTATGGTTAACCAGCAGGGGCTGTGTCAGTCCCCTGCCTGCCACGAGCAGAGGGCTGCTGCAGCCCTGCAGTGCTCACTGTGGGCAGGGGCACTCCAGTCTGCTGGAGCAGCCCATGCCTGCAGTGGGCCCAGCCTAGTGCGCCACAGGCAGTGTGCTTGAGTCCAGCCCATGCAGTCCCCGCCTGGCCCAGGCTAGGTGCACTGCTGGCAGGGACACTTCAGCCCAACTGGAGCAGCTCCCGCCAGAAGCAGGGCGGGCTGCTTCAGCCTTGCTGTGGCTGGAATGGCTCTGCTGTTTATCCCCATTTAATCAGTTTACCAGTTAAACTAATTAAATGGGATGTAGTTTAGAACAAACAAAAGGAAATAATTCTTCATGCAAGATATAGTCAACCTGTTGAACTCATTGCCAGAAGATGTTGTGAAGGCCAAAAGCGTGACTTGGTTTAAGAAAGAGGGAATTTTAAAGAGGATAGGTCCATCAATAGCTATTGGCTAAGATGGTCAGGGATGCAACCCCATGATCTAGGTGTCCCTAAATCTCTGATTCCCAGAAGCTGGGACTGGACAACAGGATGAACCACTCGATAAATTGCCCTGTTCTGTTTGTTCCTTCTGAAGCAGCTGACGTTGGACACTGATCTGACTTGGTATGGCCATTCGTATTTTAATTCAGGTTGCTCCTCAGTGTGGGATACATGCTGAAAACTGACACACAGGTGACTAATTTCATAAGGTCATTCTTGTTATGTCTTTCTAGGCTGTTTATTGTGTTGAGAAACTGGGGATCCCAGTGGAGAAGGTCAATCCCCTCGGAGGAGCTATTGCATTGGGGCACCCACTAGGCTGTACTGGGGCTCGTCAAGTTGTCACTTTACTCAATGAACTGAAGCGAAGAGGGAAAAGGTGAGCATTAAAAATGATGTGGTAAATAGCTCTTTCTGTAAAGGGTTAAGAATCCAAGCCTGTGATGTTCTGTCCTTAAAATGGAGGGTTCATGTTTCTGTCATTGCCTACTGGAGGATAGTAGGAGATGGCAGGCTATTAATTGCTTAATGCGTTGAGTAAGCAACTCTGGTGCTTTCAAAGAGTAGAGTAACTTAATTTAGGGTTTCCTGGTGGATTTACAGATAGTTTATTACCCCCACAAGTTCTGATGAACATCACAACAGATTCACAGTACACCTGGAGTAGATTATAGCTGAGCTTCCTGAAGAGTCATGGAGGGAGAGGGGTGTGGTTTTCTTGTCAGTCATTTTTAACTGATCCCACTCCTTCATATTGCACGGTGAGTTTCTCTCTCAACATAATGTCAGTCAAAGCAGAGTCTGAAGTCTTATCCACTCAAACCCACATTCCTCCTATTACTTTATCTGCTTTGATGGCTGAGGGGCACAGTTCTTTGAAGTGTGCTACTGCCAGGAGAGCAGATGTAGCTTTAATGTTGTGGGATATGTGAGAGTTGTCTGAGGAAAATCTTGTATAAGGAATGCCTCTTTCCCACTTCAGGGAAATAAGGACCAGAGACTGTTTCTGAATTAGAATCTTTGTGTATCAAAGCCAACCTTCAGGTTGTGAGCAATATAAGTTAACTTTATTGGCTACTTTTTTCAGGCAATGTAGAACTAGTTACTGTTTCTAACCACACACTAACTTGTTTTGTTCCAGAGCTTATGGTGTTGTATCCATGTGCATTGGAACTGGTATGGGAGCTGCAGCAGTATTTGAATACCCAGGGAAGTGAAGTACAATATCTGACTCTGCATTCTCCAATGATAGTGAATAATTTACAGTGTACAAATGCATATGGTTTCAGCAATGTATTTAATGGAATTTATTTAGTAATTTTAGACACAGTTGACTTGGAGTATAAACTTATGTGCACTGTTTACTGAAATACTTTGGGGTAGAAGGAAAAGAGATTGGTGCCTGCTTCAAAGCTAAGGTGCATGAATGCCAGAGGAAAAAAGACTGTGCAATTTAGCCAGTCTTGCCCTTAAAAATACAAGCCCCTATTCATATGCATGTATGCATATTAATAATCTCCCTGGATTCCATGGGACACGTGTAAAATTACTCATGTGGAACCAAAGGACCAGGGCTGTAATTCAGAAAGACGAAGTTCATGTGGGTCTTGCTTTTTTAAAAGAGAGATATACAGTTGCCTAGACAACTAAATGTTGATGCACATGGAACAATTTTTTCAACACATGTACACGCACTTTCTCTGTGTGTATGTGTATACACACATACACACACACATCTAATTTTAAAATTCTTAAGGAATCATCCTGAGATTGATTAATTCTATTACTGATTAAATCAACAATAGCAACAATACAAATAATTTTTTTAAATGGTTAAACTACTATTTCATCAATAGCTTGACCTATTATATTCAGGTTATAATTTTCCTTTAGGGCTTATTTAATGTGCCCATATGTACCTTGGTATGTATGTACCTTGCATACATACCATATGTATATGTGTTTAATTTTAAAAATCCTGTGTTTTCTCAAGTAAACACATTTGGGCAGAGTAGATAGAATTGTATACAAGTTGATCCACTAATGAATAAGATTTCTCTTTATAAATGAGTGATGAAATTAAAGGTACAGAAGAGCTGAACTGGCTGCCAAAACTAATAATTTTTAAATAAAATCTGACCATTCCATCCTTAACTCTACAGCATTTTTATTTAATCTTGGCTTATTTTGTGACTTTTAAAAATCAGCATTTTTCTGAATTACAAAATAAGCTTATTAAATATTATCTTACTACTGTAATATAGGACTGATTTTTGGCACATGTATTTTTTATTGTTAACTCTATGTGAATATCAGTAACATTCTTCATTAGTCCGTAGTTCTTTTAACTGTGCAAAGACATATTTTTTGTATTGTACAATCATTTCCCTTCTATACTATCTTCAGTTGCAAACTAATGTACTTTGGTCACATTAGGCATAGAGAGAACCTTGAAACAGTTATTATGGAAGAAATGGTGGAGGGTTGTCATAATAGGCCCCGATGATGACCAGAAATGAGAGGGATGGTGTTTACAGATCGCTTGAAGGGTAGCTGCTGGAAGTTAGTGATCAATTATGAAGTCTTCCAAAAATTCTGCTCTGTTATCACCAATATTCAGACATGATTACACTGATTTACTTCCTCCCTTCACAAGATGATTTAAACTCCTAGGTTGTGTCTAGACTGGCCTGTTTTTCCGCAAAATCATCTGCTTTTGCGGAAAAACTTGCCAGCTGTCTACTTTCCGCAAAAGCACTGACTTCCTACTGTAAGAAATCAGTGCTTCTTGCGGAAATACTATGCTGCTCCCATTCAGGCAAAAGTCCCTTTTGCGCAAAAGGGCCAGTGTAGACAGCACAGATTTGTTTTCCACAAAAAAGCCCTGATCACGAAAATGGCGATCGGGGCTTTTTTTTTGCGGAAAAGCGCGTCTAGATTAGCACGGATGTTTTTCCGCAAAAAGTGCTTTTGTGGAAAAGCATCCGTGCCAATCTAGACGCTCTGTTCTGAAAATGCTTTTAACGGAAAACTTTTCCGTTAAAAGCATTTCCAGAAAATCATGCCAATCTAGATGCAGCCCTAGTGCTGTTTTTAAAAGAAAAGTGCTTATTGTCATCTGACATTACATTTGAAATGTTTAAATCAGCAATGCAAGCTGAAAAGTGTTTCTTGGTTATGCACTTTACATAATTGGGTACTTGAATGTAATTGCTAACTTCTAAAAATAAAGATCGGTAATTAAAAGCCACAGTTAAAGATGTGCTGAATTTTTTATATTCTTTTGCTACTAAATGGGAGGAAAACCTCACTAAACTAATCACTGTTCTTCTAATGATATTGTGAGGAGGGAGATAGTTCCAGGGCAGAAGTCTAAGATGAGCTTGCAAAGTGCAACATTGAAATCATATGGAGTGGGAGGTACTAGTTCTTATCAATGAGAAAGGAGACTGCTTTGATTTGCATGAATTATTAGAGAGAATTCTTTCCCGGGTCTCTGGCTGGTTGTTTTGCTGATATACCCCTGGTTCAACTGATCAGGAAGGAATTTTTTTCCAGTTCAGATTGGCAGACGCTTCGGGAGGGAAGGGTGTGGAGGGGAAGGGTTCGCCACCTTCTGCAGCATGGGGCATTGGCCACTTTCTGATTTAAATTAGGGTTGCCACAGCAATTAAAAAACAAATCATGATTAATCATGCAATTAAAAAAATCACAATTGTGCTGTTGATAGAATACCATGTATTTAAGTATTTTGGATGTTTCCACATTTGAAAATGTATTGATTTCAGTTAGAACACAGCATACAAAGTGTACAGTGCTCATTTGATGTTTATTTTGGACTAGAAGATTTACCTGGCATTGCTCAAGTCCTTAACTCAATTTTTCTTCATTTAAATCATTGCTCTGGGGTGGGACTGGAGATGAGGGGTTCAGTGTGCAGGCTTTCACGGGGAGAGAAGACTACCTCAGCACCCTCTCAATGCCACAGCTTGGGGTCAGGTAAGAAGCACCTCTCCATGGCTCCTGCAGCTCAAGTGGGCACAGTCAGGGGAGGGTTGCATTGTCCCGTGTTCCCCAGACAGAGTGAGGAATGCAGCAAACTGTGCACTTTCCCCTCATTCCCTAACAAAGGGGAACAGCCAGCAATGTTCCCATGTGCATGGGGGGAGAGTGACAGCACCCCACCACCCTCCCTAAAGGACACCTGGGGGGGTGAGGCTCGGAGCTGGGGCAGTTCCAGACAGGGGGAAGGGTGCCCCCCAACTAGCCCTTCACCTGCTTGGTGATTGTTTCTCTTCTCCTCCCCCCCCCCCCGTGCACAACCAAACCCTGACTTTGCTTTAAGTTATGATGAAGCTGTACACCAAATTTGGTGGTCCTAGCTCTTAGTGTTTAGGAGTTTTTTGTATGCATCCCTGTAAGAACTGGGGGAAGGGAAGAAAGCTTCAGGAGTAAGGGTGCAGAAAGTTTGGGTTACATGGTGTAGGGATGCTGGATGGAAGGGTAGAGCTGGGGTGCCAGAGGTAGGCTCTGACTGGTAGGTGCTTTCCCTCTGCAACAACTCTCTCAGCCTTCCATGCCCTCCCCATGCTATTCAGAGCAGCTGACTGTGGGGCCATGTGCTTCTCTAAATGCTGTGAGCCCAGGGAAAGGGGTACTTCGCATGCTGCCTGTCCTGCAGCAGGCAGGTCCCATTAGCCGGAAACCTCTTCTTCTCCCCTTCCCCCCCTTGCAGTATTCAGAGAATCTCATGGGTCCTGTAGCCTGCTTCTCTGACCAGCCCACAGGCACAAGGCAGCAGGGAGCCTACCAGAGGCTCCCACAGGCTGCAGGCTGGATCTGTTGGCTTAGCAGGGTGAATTTATGGCCCTTGAGCTGGATTTTGTCCCCTTCCCCCGTCTGAGATGCCTCACTTTGTAATCCCACATTTGAAAATTCTGGCCTGGCTTTTTATGGATAAATAAGGTTCTCATTATGCTCTCAGAAATGGGAATGTCAGACTGACCTTCGATTGTTTTGGTACTACTGTCGACTAGAAAGTATGAGTAGGTAGGAATCAAGGGAGTGTAAGAAAATTAAGTGGGATGGAATCCATCTTCTATAGTTGCACAAGCAGGGGGCCATGCTCAACTCCCAGGCGCTACTTAAACATTTAGGTTGGTGTTTCTTCAAAGGTGCCTATGCAATGTGGACATCAAGCTCCTATTGACTTTTGTATTAAAGAAACTGAGTCAGTGAGAATGTTGGTCTTGTTCAGTGTTTCTCACTCTAGTTGCACTTAAATAGTACAGTGTGGAATTAACTGATGACTTTAAAGAAGCAAACTAAAGTGTATCAGGAATCTCCTTCACAATTTTTAGAATTCCCTTCTTTATCTGCAAAGCATCTGTTTCTATAGTGATGGGAGTATGCCAATAAGAGAACTATAAAACTCAACACATACTATTTTGAGTCAACATCTGTTGAATTATATTTGTTCAGTAGACACTTATCCTAGTTCAGTAAAATTCTTTTTTATATATTACTTGGAATGTATTTTAAATCTCAAGTACATGAAAATGTAGGCAATGTAGTTTCAATAGTATCATTCAAAATACATATGTATCTTGCAGTGACTTCAGTAGCCAAGAATGACTCATTACATTGACACCTAATCTGTACCATCTCTCTTATATTAAATGGAGATCTTCATATTTCTCATCATAGGATCCTCTGCCTCTGATCTGTAATTTGCAGGGCTTTTCTCCCAGCATTCCAGAAACAGTCACTGTAGTTTCATATTCCACATTACTCCTAAAATACAAAGGAAGAAGACAGTTCAGTTAGCTGGCCGTTCTACTACATGCAAAAACACAGCACGGTTCTTTAAAGGAGCTGGGATGAGAAGAAGTATGGGGTGCTGGAGGGGGATGCTCTGGCAGTCCTCACAAGCAGCTCCCCATCCCTGTTGCTCCTGGCAAAGGTGCGGCCAGGTGGCTGTATTGCAGTAGGGATGCTGCCTCCATGTGAAGGCAGTGTGTCCTCAGCTCCCACTGGCTGCAATACCTAGCCCATGTGCTGGAAGGTGTTGGGTCCATGCTCTGGGAGGGGGAACAAACGGTGTGCATTCAGAGCCACCTGGCCATGCCTGGCAGCAACAGGAGGGTCAGGGAGCCACTTGCAGGGAAGTGAGCACCTCCCGCCTGTGTCCCAAGCCCCTCCCACAGCCCAGCCAGCCCTGTACCAACCATACTGTAGACAGGACTTTCTGTGCAAATCAGAAATGCCAGTTTATTGAGCTTGCTAGTTGGTGAAGTGCCAGATAAAAGGGCTAGTACTGTAATTCAAAGAACTGGGCAGCAGTATGGGAGAGGCAATTACTCCTTGCAGAGCAGCAGTCTGCAAGGCCTTTCTTCGTCAACTCCAAAGACAGCAAAATGCTATTCTCTTACTGTACCTTGCAGTAAAACTGATCTTTAAAGCTACTTTGGTGGGTGAGCTGGCTTCATGGGCCTCGAGAATTCCATGAGCGGGAGAGATGGAAAATACTTCAATGTTATGCCGTTCTCGTTGGTCTGCAGCAAAGAATGAAAATATCAATTGAAGAGTCTTCCCTGTTGTGTATAATGCAGTATTCATGTAAGCAAAGAGTATATCTCCTCACTTGTCAATTAAAATTGGGATTGTCACATGCCTTTGACTAGTCTAAATCTCATTTGCAGGGCCAGCTGAGATGGTGGTAGTGGTAAATGGCAAAATAAAATGGTCTGGTCTGGTCCTGCTCTCACTGAAGTCAATGGACATTTTACCATTAACCTCATTAACTTCAGTGTAAGCTTGTTTCTAGTGGGAGTTGGTGGTGCTCACCTCCTACCATCAGGCCTTAAGGGCCATCTACACAGCAGGGCAAAACTTGAATTAAACTACGCAACTTGAGCTACATCAATTGTGTAGCTTAAGTCAAAATAGCTTAATTTGGCTTTTGGAGCTGTCTACACAGCAGGAAGTTAAAGGAAGAACACACTTCCTTCAACTTCCCTTACTCCTTGTGAAATGAGGGTTAATAGGAGTCGGAGTAAGAAGTCCTCCAGCTCAACTTTATTTCGAAATAAAGGCTTGTAGTGTAGACGCGCACTGTGTTATTTCAGAATAACATCAGTTATTCTGAAATACTGCTGCTGTGTAGACATACCCTAATTTGGAAAAATAAATATGGTGGATCTGACTCTGTTCTCTGGTGTACATCTGAAGTCATTACTGTAGTCAGTGAAAAGATACTGGAGTAAAGACAGTGTGAACAGACCCTGACTTGGTTCTTACCGGATGGTTGTTATCATGTTGTACGTACTGACTAGGATGCATTCCCATCTTACTATAGAAGAAGACTAAAACAAGCATTATACTCTTCTAACAAAAGGAATCTATTGCACAGGCTTAGTACCCAGTAAAGCAGTCCAGTAACTTCTGCATCTGCTCCTGTTTAACAAAAAAACATCTTCTGTCCTAGTTTGGTCTACAAAGCAGGTCTCAAAATCAACTGTCTCACAAGAGAGTTCCAGTAGCGGGACAGTAAGGTATGCTGTCACTGGCACGAGCTGGAAAGATACAAAAGAGGAAAAGAGTTAAAAAAAAATTCCATAACTTTGTCCAAAAAGAAATGAGCATTATTTAGGGCAAGCTTACACTTAAACAATGCATCGGCACAGGTGTGCTACTGTAGCACTTTAATGAAGATGCTTCAAGCTAATGGGAGAGAGC